GAGTAGAAGCTTCTGGATGGATGGGAAGGGGCACCGACTGATAGACAAGGCACCCGGGGGGGGGGGGGTAAAGGGAAAGGCTGCGCCTCTTCCAGGGTGATGGACAGCCACTGGAGAGGCGGGAAGGGAGGACAAGGCGGGAAAACTGGGGACAAACCAAGTTGTACATGGGGGTACAAAGGAATAACCCAATACATAATACAAGAATAACAAAACATACAAATAACGAAACTCCACACTGCCCTGAGCACCTCAGCACTGTGATCAAAACAGACACTTTTTGCCTTTAGATGGCCTTAGGAGAGGCTTCTTGCACATCCCTGCCCCCAAAGCTCATTCATAAGGCCCTCCCAGCACCTCACTTTCACCCCCAATGCGGGCCTGAGCCCTATACTTATCTCTCAGGCATCTGGGGATGAGAGCACCCCACTTTCACCCCCAATGTGGGCCTGAGCCCTCAACTTATCTCTCAGGCATCTGGGGATGTGAATACACGTCGCGTGCCAATGAAGGCTGCCTCGCCTGCGGGGAATGTCCTATGGTCACCGGGCTGTGGTCCCGTGCTCAGCTACAATCGAGAACACCAAACATCACTGCATGATCTTAGCTGCACAATGGACAAAACACAGCAATCCTGCTACTCACCGTTCTCCTAAGAATGCTCGGGCCGCTCACTTTTGCCAGGCTCGGAGACTGCCACCATCATCGCAGAGTCTGCCTGGGTTAAGAAGAGACAAAGTGATTCGACATGGATGAAACACGAGTGGACCTTGGCTCAACCTCCCTACCTCGGCAACTCACCGCAACTCCTCAGCCATTGCCAATGGCTCCCTGGATGCCATCGTGAAATACAAAATTTCAAGGCTTCATCTCAGAGTCCTGAAATACATCCAGAGGGCCCACAAGCACAGGAAATCCAGGCCATCAGCTGTTGGTGACAGGGGCTTGGCATACTCTGGGTGGATTCCCTAAGCACACAAACTAGAACAGATACATACAATTGCGCCAAAACCTGAAACCTGAGCACAAACAACTGCTTTGGCCCACTGCTCACCTGGCACACTTGGCCTTGACTGCTGCTATCTGCCTGGACCTCCTGAAAATAAAGGCAAAGAACACTGCTGTGACAAAGACACCATTCAAGCATCCCCTGCAAATGCAAAAAATGACTGACCTGATCATGGGAAAACCCTCACCCAGGACTGGGGCCCTTGGCCACAGATTTAAACTGTCAGCATCTGAAAGAAATTTAGGACTAGTTTCAAATGGCTGCAGGACAACTTAACACAACTAAACATATTAAGCCAATCTCCCCATACAATCTAGAGCCCAACTACACCCTGCACTGCCAATTTCAAGTCCCCAGGACTTGTGTTGTTACAGGCTATGCAGCAGGGCAGAACAGCTCCAGGAAAAATACGTGCAGACATCCGTGGCACCGGACAGGGAGAGAGAGCTTTTGAGGAGAAAGGACCGAGAGACCCAAAGAACACAGAGTGCACCAGAGACAAGTGACAGGACACACACCAGAACTGCTCTCCCCTGCATCCCTCCACACTAATATCAAAACAGACACTTTTTGCCTTTAGATGGCCTAAGGAGACATTTTTTGGACGTCTCCAATTCCAAACTGTCTCAAAAACCCCTTCTGGGGAGTCCCAACCTTGCACCCCGCTTATCACCCCCTCTGTGGGTCATAACCCTCCACTTATCTTGCACTCATCTGGGGAAGCAAATCCCTGTTGGGTGCAGAAGACCGTCTCCCTGTCCGGGAAGTTCCCCGCTGTCATTTCTTAGTCTGCCAAGAGAAAGAAAACTAAACATCAGTACACAGTCTTATCTGCACATGGGCCAAAACCTGATAATGCTGCTACTGACCATTCTCCTTTGAATGCCCGGGTTCTCGACCTGCACGCTTCGGACGTGCTTGGATTCCAACGCCGTCATTGCAGGGTACGCCTAGGTTAAGTGGAGACAAGGCGACATGGCATTGCTGAAACACGAGTGGAATCTCATTCCTCCCCAACTCACCACAACACCTCGGCCATTCCTCAGGGCTACCAGGATGGGACCTTGAAATGCAGGATTGGAAGGCTCCATCACAGGGTCCTATAATGCTTCCAACAAGATCACAAAGGAATGAAAACTGATCCATCAGCCACTTGGTAACAGAGGTATGCGCACTCCGAGTCGATTCCCTAAAGCACAAAATCAAGAATGGATGCTTACAATTGCACCAAAAACTGAGACCTGAGCAAAAATAACTGTTTCTGTCCCCTGCTCACCTGGCACACTTGGCCTTGACTGCAGCTATCTGCCTGGACCTCCTAAAAATAAAGGCAAAGAGCACCGCTGTATCACGGTCACCCCATTTAGGCTGCCCCTGCAAATGTGAACAATGACTGACCTGCTGATTGGAAAACCCCCACCCAGGACTGGGGCCCTCTGCCATAAATTTGAGCTGTCTGCATCTGAAAGAAAGTTAGGACTGGGACTGTTGTCAAATGGCTGCAGCACAACTTAGCATCACCAAACATGTTATGTCAATCTCCCCATACAATCTAGAGCGCAGCTACAACCTGCATTACAAATTTCAAGTCCCCAGGACTTGTGCTATTACAGGCTATGCAGCAGGGCAGAGCAGCTGCGGGACAAATACGTGCAGACACCCGTGACACAGGACAGGGAGAGAGAGCTTTTGAGAAGAAAGAACTGAGAGACCCAAAGAACACAGAGTGCACCAGAAACAAGTGGCAGGACACACACCAGAACTGCTCTGCCCTGAGCACCTCAGCATTGAGATCAAAACAGACACTCTCCCTTTAGGTGGCCTAAGGGGACATTCCTTGGACATCCCCATCTCCAAAACTGACTCAAAAACCCCTCCTGGGGAGTCCCAACCCAGCACCTCTCTTCCATTCCCTCTGTGGGTGTTAGCCCTCCACTTTATCTTGCACATATCTGGGAATGCAAATCCCCATCAGGTGCAGAACGAGGCCTCCTGCCTGTCTGGGAAGTTCCAGTTGTCACCAGGCTGTTATCTCTTGCTCTGCCAAGAGAAAGAAAACCAAACATCAGTGCACTACCTTAACAGCACATGGGGCAGAACCTGACAATTCTGCTACTCACCGTCTCCCAAGAAGTATCGGGCCACACACCTCAGGCACGCTTGGATTCTGACACAGTCATCTCAAGGTACACCTAGGTTAAGGGCAGACAAGGTGACATGGCATTGCTGCAACTTGAGGGTACCCTCGATCCTCCTCCCTGCCTCACCGCAAATGCTTGGCCATTCCTGTGGGTTACCAGGAGGGGACCTTGAAATGCAAAATTGGAAGGCTCTGTCACAGGGTCCTGTAATGCTTCCCACAAGATCACACATGCATGAAAACTGATCCATCAGCCAGATGGAGACAGAGGTATGCGTACTCCGAATGGATTCCCTAAAGCACACAAACTAGAACAGATACATACAATTGCACCAAAAACTAAAAGCTGAGCAAAAACAACTGCTTCTGTCCACTGTTCACCTGGCACACTTGGCCTTGACTGCTGCTATCTGCCAGGACCTCCTAAAAATAAAGGCAAAGAACACTGCTGTAACACTGTCACCACTTAGGCTTCCCCGGCAAATGCAAACAATGACTGACCTGATCATAGGAAAACCCTCACCGAGGACTGGGGCCATCTGCCATAGATTTGAGCTGCCTGCATCTGAAAGGAAGTTAGGACTAGTGTCAAATGGCTGCAGCACAGCTTAGCATCACCAAACATGTTATGTCAATCTCTCCATACAATCTAGAGTGCAACTACACCCTGCATTACCAATTTCAAGTCCCCAGGACTTGTGTTGTTACAGGCTATGCAGCAGGGCAGAACAGCTCCAGGAAAAATACGTGCAGACATCCATGACACAGGACAGGGAGAGAGAGCTTTTGAGGAGAAGACCGAGAGACCCAAAGAACACAGAGTGCACCAGAGACAAGTGACAGGACACACACCAGAACTGCTCTGCCCTGAACACCTCAGCACTGAGATCAAAACAGTCACTTTCTCTTTAGCTGACCTAAGGGGACACTTCTTGCACATCCCCGCCCCCAAAGCTCATTCAAAATGCCCTCCCAGCACCCCGCTTTCACCCCCACTGTGGACCTGAGCCCTCAACTTATCTCTCAGGCATCTGGGGATGAGAATACACGTCGCGTGCCAATGGAGGCTGCCTCGCCTGCGGGGAATGTCCTATGGTCACTGGGCTGTGGTCCCGTGCTCATCTACAATTGAGAACACCAAACATCACTGCACGATCTCAGCCGCACAGCAGCCACAAACCAGCAATTCTGCTGCTCACCATTATTCTCCTGAGAACGCCGGGCTCCTCGGGCCGCACGTTTCGCCCACACCCTCCTGGCATGGTCTGCCTGGCTGAAGAGCAGGTGAGGTGAGGTGGCGTTCCCAAAACTCGAGTGGACCCTGGTCCCCCTCACTAGTAGTTCCCCGACTTACAGCAAGTCCTCGGCTGCTCCTGAGGCTCCCTGGTGCCACCTTCAAGTGACAAAGATCAAGGCTTCGTCACAGAGCCGTGTGCCGCTCCCCAAATTCCCAGGAGAGCGAAGGAGCGGCTCTGCGGCCACTTGCAAGGGATGTCTCGCTGGTACATGAGTGGACTGCCTAACGCACACAAACATGAATGGATACTGAGAGTTGCAGCAGAGACACTACAGCTGCAGGCACACAAATTCATAAATAAACAAACTAACAAAATCAAAAAATTCTACCAAAATATTAATTTTATTTACCCAATATCCAAATAGATTGACAGAGACACCCTGTCCTATCCCCTCAATAAGACCTCTTAATCTATGCCAAA